ACAGCCGACGCAAGCGAGTGTTGAAGAAGGGAGACTGTACGTTGGGAATTTACCTTACACAATCACTTCTTCTGAGCTCTCCCAACTCTTTGGAGAAGCTGGAAATGTCGTCGATGTTCAGGTTCATTCTACAGTATCAACAAATTCTGTCAAAAATTAGTTTAAAAAATTTCAAGTATCGATTGATTTAGAGAGAGTTCAAGCAAATTAGGTTGAAGGAATACTAGCTTAGCTACTAATGTCTAATTGTTGCAGATTGTATATGATAAAGTCACTGACAGAAGCAGAGGATTTGGATTCGTAACCATGGGAAGTATTGAAGAAGCGAAAGAGGCGATTCAGATGTTTAACAGCTCTGTAAGTTCCACATTTTGATCGAAAATGATTCAACTTTTACATGTTTTTGATCTCTTTCTGTGTATATTGATTCGGTGTAGCAAATTGGTGGTCGAACGGTGAAGGTGAACTTCCCGGAAGTGCCAAGAGGCGGAGAGAGAGAAGTGATGAGAACCAAAATCCGTGATAATAACCGGAGTTATGTAGAGAGTCCTCATAAGATCTATGCGGGGAACCTTAGTTGGAATCTAACCTCACAAGGTCTAAAAGATGCATTTGCAGATCAATCTGGTGTGCTTGGTGCTAAAGTTATTTATGAAAGAAACGGTGGGAGGTCTAGGGGATTTGGTTTCATCTCTTTCGAGTCAGCTGAAGATGTTCAGTTAGCTCTAAATGCCATGAATGGCGTGGTAAGAGACTTCTCCCTCCTGTTTTGGTTTGGTGATTTTGTGGTTGAGACTCACTAGTTTCGGTTTCGGTTTGGTTCTTAGGAAGTTGAAGGACGAGCACTGAGGCTAAATTTGGCTTCAGAGAGAGCCACTGAGTCTTCTCCTACTGTAGCAGAAGGAAACACTGAAGAGGGTAGTCTTGAGAGCAGCGAGGTGCTTTCGAACATCAGTACATGAAGCAGCAAACGCACAATAGATTCCCCGTTTCAGACTGATAACATTGAGGGCCAGAAACTGAAAATTTTGCTATCGCTTATTATTATGTTGTACTCTACAAAGAAGAAGATAATATATGAAATAGAGAACAAGAGATTGTCTGTAATCTTATTCGGAAATGTTTATTCCATAAATGGTGTAATGTGAAATCTCTTGATTCCAGAGCAATGCAGAATTTTGTCATGATGTCTGCTAGTTGGTGTCATGGTGACCAGAAAGCAGAGCATCTGCAGCAGAATCCAAGTCTTGAGGGAAGAAAACTCTGCAAAAGTATATTCAATCCATCAGGACAAAGCCTTTACTTGAGAACGGTTTTTCAATGTCCTTTTAAAATGCCATTCTCTGTGACTTATGCAAAACCGAAATGGAGATAGAACATGCCTGCAAGTGTTGTGGTACACGGTTGAGCTAAGTTGATTTATATCCCCAAGTCCTTTGCAGCCAGCCACCACCTCAAGAACTTGCCTGGAGAAGAAAAGTATTGCCCAAAAGTTGATCTAGAGAGTGCATACATTCATGGATTTGATAACAGTCTCTCAAAGCTACACTCACCGAACTAAACAAGGCTCGTTACGGCCTTTAACTAGGGATTCTTGATCATACTTCTCCTTTTTCTTGTAAGGCCAAGTTGACTTTACAAACTTCATTCCGGCGTGTGTGTTTTTGATATCACAATATGGAGAGTCGGTTTCGATCATCATCCTTTCTATCGGTATACCTTTCACTACATCAAGATTCTCAGCTGTTTTCAATGAACACCCGTTCACACCTGCCAATACAATCATATCAGCAATACAAATACGCCAAGGAGAACTAAAGCCCAAAGGCACAGTTTTAATCAATAATGGAAACCACGTGGAAGCGTTTACCAATGTACATTTTATCGAAAGAAAGAAGCTTATCGCGGTCCAATGCACTACCAGTAAACGAATGAGCAACTCCTCCAGTGAACCTGAAAGTGGATTATGGTGTACGAATTAAGATGACTCAAAAAGGAATCCTGTGATGTTATATGTAATCATAACTCGAGATAACATTAGCATACAAGTTCACCTGTTCTTGTTTCTTTCAACAATTTCACAGAAATCCGCAGCAGCTGCTCGCATATGTAGGAACATAGGCAACTTTGTAGCATATGCTAATTCAAATTGCTTCTCAAAATACCTTTATCACCGCAGAAAACATGGAAGAAATTAAATATACTTAAACGTGCTAAAGGAGAAAATTTTTATGATCTTACTTCTTCTGGATATCAACGGGGCAGAATTGAAGCCTATCATAATCCAATCCACATTCCCCAATTGCTACCACCTTATATATAATCATAAAGGAGAACATGAATGATTTTGATTGGGAATCAAAATGAAAGCTATATGAAACCTAAATCAATTCAAAGCATCTATAAGATAAGAAGAAATAGCACCTTCCCTTTCTGTATTCCTTCTTTGGCTAATGAAAAAAGATCCCGGTAATGCTTCTCTGGATCACCACTCTCTTCAAACTCCTGATGGAAAGTTGACATTAAAGAACAAAGTAAGCAGAAGATTGGAATTTGGTAACATGTTAAACTCTGAGAATTTCAAAAGAAAGAGTCATTACGGTATGAAAAAACTAACATTGCATCTAGTTGGATGAACACCAACCGTACAGAACAGTCTGCCTGCAAGTGTACATCCACAATCATAAAGCCTAAAAACAGAGACATTCAGAGAAAAAGATGGGATGAATGAAAAAACAAACCATCAGTTTCCGCAATTGCAAGAGCTTCTCTTGATTCCTGCAATGACCCTCCAGTTACCTGTACAAGAAAGTTAACATTTTGGATACCCCAAATTCTACTACCATTTCTAATAATTCAAGAAATATCCGAGAAGAGTGACTCAACAATGATTCTATCGACTCCGGCAGACCAAGCTCGGTTCAAGACGGTGGCAATGTCGGGAACATGACAGTTCTTGCCATGGTAAATCCCCTTGAACATCCCATCTGCGTAATTCGACAAATCCCATGTGCTCAGAACATAATTTGATCAGAGAATGATATGTTCACAAAGTGTTTGTGGAAATGCCTTAACTAACCTGTGAAGTTCACGGCTACGTCTGATCTTGCACAAACACATCAGAATAAAAATATAAGACAGAATATTTGTACATTAGAAGAAGAGAATGAATCAGAGAAGTAACGAAAAATTGAGCAAATTCCCGATTTTGACTTGCCTATCATCCTCAACGACGCCATTGTAAGAGAGAGATTGTACAACAGAGCAAAACTTTTGTCTTCTCTTCTAGTGGGGATTTTGTATTACTAATGGGCTTTTCCTACGGCCCATTAACTCAATTCACTATTTTTACCATTGACTGGTGGTGAATTGTTTCATATTGAAGATGTGTGTTTTCTTTAGCAAAGACAGATCAAAAATGCAATTCATGGGAAAATTTCATTATTGTGCTTGGTAATATAAAAAATAAATATGTTCTGATCGCATTATATATATATACAAACCATAACCAATCAAAACATTACAAAATATATT